TATTTGATGATTATAAGAAAATTATTTTTTATATAATTTTCTTATAATCATCAAATATAATCAGAAAAAGTTACTGGAATACTTTTACGCGAAATATCAAGTAGTCAAGAATCATTTGATTATGAATCTGAATTATATTATATGTTAAGCCCAACAAAATCTATTATTTCTGGTTTAAGAGAAAAACCTATTAATGTAAACTATGTAAATAATTATTAAGGTATGTACTTTTTATCTTTTAAATTTTTCTCGTTAATAAAATAAAAAAAAAAAAAAAAAAATCGAATAGACTTTTTAATAAAGTTTATTATAATAAAACTACTATTAAAGACCTTATATATAGTATTGATTATATAATATCTATCGATGTATTTGAATATACAGGCAACAACAATGATGATGAACAACAAATCGGGATAAACAATGAATTAATAATAAATAACAACAACAATATCAACAAAACTTTTCAAAAACAAGTTGATCAAATTGAAAAAATATGTAATGATTTGGATATTTCATTTTCATTATATAACAAATCTGAAATTTATCAAGATTTTTATAAAGCTTTAAATACAACAAATTCATCTTCTGAATTATCATTGATAAATTCTAAAAAAGATTTAAATTCTTTTGCTATAATTAATTCGAAAATTTTTGATTATATGAACATTAATATGAATGATCCTGATAAGAAATCTTTTCATCAATTAGTTCAACTTTCAATAAAACATTTGGATAATTTTATAGAACTTAAAATTTTAGTTAATTCTATGAGGCATTTAAATAATTGTAATGAATTAGTTAATCAAATTAAAATTTTTGCTGAACAAAATGATGAAGATCCCGCTAATTTATTTAAAAAACTATTAGAATATCAAGAAAATTCTACTTTTGCTCGTTTAATAGGTTTTTTTTATAAATATGGAATTACTTCTTCTAAAGATGATTACGAAAATTTTCGTAATTATGAGAATTTGGCTAAAAATGGTGATTTTAATGCTCATTATAATTTAGGAAATTGTTATTTAAATGGCGTTGGATCTATTAAAGATGAACAAAAAGCATTTCAATGTTTTATGATATCTGCTCAAGGTGGAAATACTGAAGCTCAATATGAAGTTGCTTATTGTTACGAAAATGGAATAGGAACTATTCAAGATGAATTGAAAGCTTTGGAATATTATTTAAAATCTGCTGATGCGGGTAATATTAAAGCTCAAAATAACGTTGGATATTATTATGAAAATGGTGTTTGTACTGAAATAGATGAACAAAAAGCTTTTCAATATTATCTAAAATCTGCTGATGGTGGAAATGTTGATGCACAAAACGAAGTAGGTTATTATTATGAAAATGGATTTGGGGTCATTAAAGATGATCAGAAAGCTTTTCAATATTATGTTAAATCCGCAGAAGGTGGAAGTACTGATGCTCAAAATAATGTTGGAAATTGTTATCTTCACGGAATTGGTACTATTAAAGATGAGAAGATGGCTTTTAAATATTACATGAAATCTTCCGAAGAAGGAAATACTATCGCACAAAATAACCTTGGATACCTTTATGAAAATGGTATTGGCGTTACTAAAGATGAGCAAAAAGCTTTCCAATATTATTTGAAATCTGTTGAAGGTGGTGATGTTAATGCGCAATACAGTCTTGGAAATTGTTATAAGAACGGTATTGGTACCACAAAAAATGAGGAAAAAGCATTAGAATATTTTATAAAATCCGCCGAAAATGATGATACAAATGCTTTATATAGCCTCGGACATTGCTATCAAAATGGAATTGGTACCATAAAAGATGAGAAAAAAGCATTTAATTATTATTTGAAATCTGCTGAAGGTGATAATGCTAATGCGCAATATAGCGTTGGAAATTGCTATCAAAACGGAATTGGTACTATGAAAGATGAGGAAAAAGCATTTCATTATTATTTGAAATCTGCTGAAAATGGTAATGCAAATGCGCAATATAGTGTAGGAAATTGTTATCAAAATGGTATCGGTATCAAAGTAGATGAACAGAAAGCATTCGAATATTATATAGAATCTGCTAAAGATGGAAACGCTGATGCACAAAATGAACTTGGTTATTTTTATGAAAATGGAATCTGTACTGATAAAAACGAAAAGAAAGCATTTCTATATTATATGAAATCTGCAAAAGGAGGAAATGCTACTGCTCAAAATGAATTAGGTTATTATTATGAAAATGGAATCGGTACAACTAAAGATGAAATGAAAGCATTCCAATATTATTTGAAATCCGCTGAAAGTGGTAATATCGAAGCACTAAATAATCTTGGTAATTGCTATCAATATGGCGTTGGTACTACTAAAAATGTGAAGAAAGCCTTTCAAAGTTATTTGAAATCTGCCGAAGGTGGAAGTGTTGAAGCACAAAATAGTCTCGGACTTTGTTATCAAAATGGAATTGGAACTACTAAAGATGAAAAAAAAGCTTTCCAGAATTTTATGAAATCAATTGAAAGTGGAGACACTGATGCACAATATTATATTGGTTATTGTTATGAAAATGGAATTGGTACTGAAAAAGATGAACAGAAAGCATTTGAATACTATATTAAATCTGCTGAAAGTGGTGATATTGATGGACAATATAGGCTTGGATATTGTTATCAAAATGGTGTTGGAACTGTTAAAGATGATAAAAATGCTTTCCAATGTTATATTAAAGCAGCTAAAGAGGGAAGTGCTGCTGCACAAAATGAACTTGGTTACTACTATGAAAATGGGATTTGTACTACTAAAAATGTGCAAAAAGCGTTTCGATATTATATTAAGTCCGCTGAAGCTGGATATACCGCCGCACAAAATAATGTTGGATATTACTATGAAAATGGAATCGGCACTGCTAAGGATGAACATAATGCATTCCTATATTATATGAAATCTGCTAATGGAGGAAATACCGCTGCACAATATAATCTCGGTTATTGTTATGAAAATGGAATTGGTACCGTCAAAAATATGCAAAAAGCTTTTCAATATTATGTAAAATCTGCTGAAGGTGGAAATACTAAAGCACAAAATGATCTTGGTTGCTGCTATCAAAATGGCGTTGGCACTACACAAGATGAATGGCGAGCATTTCATTATTTCATGAAATCCGCTAAAGGTGGTAATACTACTGCATATTTTAATCTTGGAAATTGTTATAAAAATGGAATTGGTACCATAAAAGATAGGCAGAAAGCAATTGAATGGTACACGAAATCTGCTGATTCAGGAGATGCTAAAGCTCAAAATGAACTTGGATATTATTATTATAATAATGGGATTGGTATCAACGAAGATGAACAAAAAGCATTCAACTATTTTATGAAATCTGCTAATGGTGATAATATTATAGCACAAAACAATCTTGGATATTGTTATCAAATGGGTATCGGTATCGATAAAGATTACAAGAAGGCATTCCAATGTTATGTAAAAGCTGCTAAAAAGGGACATGCTTTAGCACTGTATAACCTTGGAAATTGTTATAAAAATGGCATTGGTATCGAAAAAGATTTACGAAAAGCATTTGAATGTTATATGAAATCTGCTAATAAAGGAAACGTTATATCACAAAATGAAGTTGGATATTGCTACCAATATGGAATTGGCAGCGTAAAAAATGTGAAAGAAGCATTTAATTATTATATGAAGGCCGCTAAAAACGGAGATACTTCTGCACAAAATAATCTTGCATATTGTTTTGAAAATGGCATTGGTACACCAAAAGATATTCAGAAAGCATTTCAAGCTTACATGATATCTGCTAAAAATGGTAATGTTTATGCGCAATTTAATCTTGGACATTGTTACGAAAATGGAATTGGTACCATAAAAGATGCGCATAAGGCATTTATGTGTTATATGAGATCTGCTGAAGGTTATAATGTTGATGCACAATATATTCTCGGCTCTTATTATGAAAATGGGATTGGAACTACCAAAGATGATATAAAAGCGTTTCAGTCTTATATGAAAGCTGCCGAAGAAGGAAATACTTCTGCACAACTTAGTCTTGGAAGATGTTATCAAATTGGAATTGGAACGCCTAAAGATGAGCAAAAAGCATTCCAATATTACATAAAAGCTGCTGAAGGTGGTAATATTGATGCGTCATATAGCCTTGGTTATTGTTATCAAAATGGAATTGGCACCACGAAAGATGATCAGAAAGCGCTAGAATGTTATATGAAATCTGCTGAAAAGGGCGATACTGATGCGCAATGTAATCTTGGAGATTATTACAAGAATGGAATTGGAGTCACCAAGGATGAACAAAAAGCATTTTATTTTTACGTGAAATCTGCGGAAGGTGGCAATGATAAGGCACAAAATAATCTTGGATATTGTTACCTACATGGTGTCGGTGTTACTGAAGACAAGTGGAAAGCAATCAGATGTTACATGAAATCTGCTGAAAAGGAAAATATTGCAGCTCAAAATAATCTTGGATATTGTTATTTGCATGGAATTGGTACTTCCAAAGACGAATGGAAAGCATTTAAATACTTTATGAAATCTGCCGAAGGAGGGAATATTGTAGCACAAAATAATGTTGGATATTGTTACGAAAATGGAATTGGCACCACTAAAGATAAGCAAAATGCATTTAAGTATTACATGAAATCCGCTGAAGGTGGTGAGATTGAAGCTCAATTTAACCTTGGTCATTGTTATAAATATGGAATTGGTGTCATAAAAGATTTGAAAAAAGCATTTCAATATTACATGAAATCAGCTGAAGGTGGAAATGCTGCAGCACAGAATGAGGTTGGATTCTGTTATGAAAATGGATTTGGCATCGCCAGAGACGAACAGAAAGCATTCCATTACTATATAAAAGCTGCAGAAAATGGATGTAGTGATGCTCAATATAATGTCGGAAATTGTTATGAAAATGGTATTGGCACTATTAAAGATAAACAAGCAGCATTCCGGTATTTTATGAAATTTGCCAAAGAAGAAGATTCAAATACGCGATATGATCTTGAAATTGCAACGCCACAAGAACCACCATCACCACCACTATGGCAAAAGTCTAAAAAATATTTCAGTGTACTATGAAATGCCGCCGCAATTTAGAAAAACTTAATAATTGAAAATAACATTTCAAAAAATCCGTATAAAAGTTTAATATTAAATCCATTTAATGTTTTGTAATAATGTTAATTTATATGTATATATTTTCATTGTGTTATATATTCTTAATAAGTATTTTATTTGTATTCATATTTTTTATTTTGTATTTATTTTAATATTAATATTCAAAAGTACATAAATATCATTAAATTTATAAGTATTAGAATTTTTAGAAGACTTCGAATAATAATATTTTATTTGATAAAGCATTATCAAAAATTTTAGAATTCATTAATCAAAATAAATTCTGCGAAAAATTTTTTAATGAATTTTTTTAAACACTTTAATTTACCTAAGCCGTAAGAATCTAAGATTGTAAAATGAAATATATGCATTTAGCTTATCAAACATATTAAAATATAACTAAAATAATTTATAAGAAAATTAAATTTAAGAATAATAAAAGTGAATACTATTATCGGGTACTTCAAAATGTTAAAATTTACAATTGAATAGGGCCCCAATATCATTTAATGAGACACTTTTCTAGGATAGTATAGGGCTAATGTTACCTAGCATATGGGATATAGGATAACTTTCTTGTGATTGGTCATCACATGAAATTGAATAACACGTTATTATTGGCTAATTGTGGTGCATGTGACAATCAACCAATTAAATTACATCATATTCGTAAACTTAATTAGTTTCTATTGCTTCTCACTTTAACAAAAGAATATAGAAAAAAACAGATCTAGATATGTATTTTTTAAATGTTTATTACGCCT